CAAGCTCTGATACCAAAGCTGTCAGGACCCCGATCCAATGCCACACCGATCTAGCATGTAACACATCGTATCACTTTGCGGCCTCACGCACGGTATTCCCACGGGTGCCACCTTACCTGGCCCGGGACCGTTTGCGCCTTTTGGCTCACGTATATGATAGTGCCGCTAGCATCCATATGACAAAGAACCCGGGCTGACATGGCTAGTCGTGAACCCAAAGTGGCACTAACTTACAGGGACAGGCATCCATGACCCAACATCGAACGTGTCGGTCATCAGCGAGTGAATGCAGGCTGTAGCACTGGGCTAGCAGGACTCCGGTGAACCGGGCTGTAGCGGGCTAACAAGACTCCGGTATTCATCGCGTGACATTTCCCCGAAGGGACAGACACAGGAACGAGGAAGGACACATGCCGGCCAGCCTAAGTGTTCCGGAGCAGTAGCAAGCTACCAAGGCTCAGTGGAAGCACTAGGAGACATTTCCCGGTAAAAGAGGCTACCAAGGATAAACAACTAGATAGTCAGATCCCACACATACCAAGCATTTCAATAACATACACACAATATGCTCGATATGTGCAAACACAACATGGCATCACAACATGACTCTATGACTCAAGTATTTTATTCAATAGGCTCCGAGGAGCGAGATATTACAAACATGGGTCTCATGACCCAACATTCAGAGCACACAAATCAAAGCACAAGCGGAAGCTTAACATGTCTGAGTACAGACAACTATAAATGAAAAAGGCTAAGAAGCCTGACTATCTACTAGATCCTGCCGAGGGCACAAGATCGTAGCTGAGGTAACAAGCTAAACGTCGAAGTCCACGCGGTACTACTAGCGAGACTGAAGTCTCGCTGCAAAAACATAAATTAAGCAACGTGAGTACAAATGTACCCAGCAAGACTTACATCAGAACTAACTACATATGCATCATTATCAGCAAAGGGGATGGTGGGGTTTAACTGCAGCAAGCCAGCTTTGACTCGGTGGCTATCCTGATCTACGACTACAAGTAACTCTTTTGAGGTGGCGCACACGAGTCCACATATTCACCATATCAATACACCACTATGGATCCGCTCCCGTCTCCCTACGAGAACGCCATCCATAGCACTCACGCTTATCTTGCGTATTTTAGAGTATCCACTTCACTTGTCTATGAACTGTACAGGCAACCCAGAAGTCCTTTACCGCGGACACGGCTATTCGAATAGATAATATTAACCCTGTAGGGGTGTACTTCTTCACACACGCTCTCACCACTTACCGCCGTTTACACGACATGTACTCGGCAACCTTCAAGCGGAAGCCCAGCGAGGGTGTCGGCCACGACCTGACTAACCACACAAGTCTCTCGTCCAGGTTTATCGCCTATTCGGGTTCCATCCACAAGGAGATCCGGCCGGGGTGTCGCTCACGGCCCCAAACGATGTGAGCAGGGTTCCCAAGCCCACCATCCGGGTGCCACTTGGTACACCGTGCCACTGTGCCTAGTCTGTCCCAAGCCCACCTGTACCGGGTGCCACTTGGTAGACTACTAACACTACCTACAAACACCAGAAACTAGTTGCAACTCCTGGACAGAGATCAAGTCGGTTAATAAGTCGAGAGAGTCAATTAAGGATCCCAATGTGTGGTAGTAGCTGATCATGGATCACAAACACAGAACTCAGTTCCTGAGGACGGCCGCAATGAGACAACCCACCATGTACTCCTACATGGCCTCTCACCGCTACCTTTACCAAATCGTGTTCACACACTTAGCTCACACATAGTAGGACATGTTTACACACCTCTAATTCATCCCCGATGAATCAGACCTGACACAACTCTAAGCAATAGCAGGCATGACAAACAAACATGAATGAGTAGGCACATCAGGGCTCAAACAACTCCTACTCATGCTAGTGGGTTTCATCTATTTACTGTGGCAATGACAGGTCATGCAGAGGATAAAGGGGTTCAGCTACCGCAGCAAGTAACAGATGAATCGTTGTTGTCCTAATGCAGTAAAAGAGAGCAGGAGCGAGAGAGTGGGATTGTATCGGAATGAACAAGGGGGTTTAGCTTGCCTGGCACTTCTGAAGATAATATAGCTCTTCATCGGTGTCATCTAACTCATCGTCGAAACCACGTCTAGCGGGAGGGGACAAACACCGGCAAACAAAGAAGAACACAATCAATGCAATGCAACAGTATGATGCATGAATGTGACATGGCAATATGCTGTTGATTTGTGCTGATGCAACTAAAACCATATTAAATGAAGTTGGTTTGAATCCAAGATTCAAATTCAAACTCCATATGTGGATATTTAAATGCCTTTAATATGATTTGTTCTAAACAGCAACTATAAGTTGTTCTAACATGCATGAAAATGGTACAGATGGATAGATTGGATTTTTCTGATCATTTTTCATATATAATTTATTTCATTTGGAGTTACGGTTGAATTTCTATGAATTTTAGAAGTTTAGTGTACTTTCTGGAATTTCCTTAATTAATAAAAACACCAGAAAAGCTTTATGACATCAGCACTACGTCATGCTGACCTCAGCAAGTCAACACGGTCAGCCACGGTCAAACCTGACGCGTGGGTCCCCATGTCAGTGTAACAAGGCAGGAGCAGAGGCTGACCAGTGGGGCCAGGTCAAAGCTGACTGGGCCGGTCAAACCTAACAGCCTAGGCCCACTGGAGTTAATCTAATCCTAGTTAGAAACTAATCCAGGTTAATTAAGGGCTGTGGGGCCCATCTGTAAGTGAGTTAGGGGGTTAGTTAGTGGCGGTATTAGCGGGTGATTAGCCGCTAATGACGTGCCACGTCAGCTTCGCCGGAGTATGGCCGGCGGCGACCTCTAAACGCGGCGGAGGGACACTGGAGGGGCTCGGTTTTCGCCTATAGTGCACCGTTTGGTGCGCCCTTAGGCCCTACAGAGAGCTGGTGTGATGGCGCGTCGGATGGTGGTGGTCTCCAGGCCTGGGGTGGCCGGAGTCGACGGCGGCGAGCTCGGTTGCGGCCGCCGGAGTTCGGGTGGCCACGGGATAGTTGTTGCGGCGTGCAAACGGGCGGGTGCTTACGCTAGGAATGCTTTACGGGATGCCACAAGTACGTTGGGCTCGTCGGGGTGACCAAATGGTCACCGGAGCTACGTCGACGGCGAGCTCGGGCGGCGGGGCGTTTCGGCTCCGGTGGAGGAGGCGGCTAGAGCTTGAAATCGGGCATGGAGTTAGGGGGAAGCGAAGAAGGGGCTCACATGGAGTCGGTAGGGCGGCTCAGCAAGCTCGGGATGTCCGGACGGCGGTGGAATCACGGCGGCGATCGCCGGGACCCGAGGAGGGGAACGGCGGAGCTAGCGGCATCCAGGGGCTTCCGGCGCCTTTCGTCTGGGTGAGGATGAAGAGGGGGGCGAGGCGGAGCTTCCTGGGTCGTCGGCGAGGCGGGGAGGTGGCTGTGGCCGCGGCGAACGGCGTCGGTGGCGACGGCGGCGCTCGGTGGGGAAGAGAGAGGGATCCAGGGGGAAGTGAGGGTGAGGGAGAGAGCGAGGAGGGTCCAGGAGGTGTCGTGGCGTCCGCAGCGGCATCGTGGAAGGGGGCAGGCAGGCAGGGAGGGAGGAGGAGGCGCTGCGCGTGCGTGCGCGCCGCGGGCACACGCCCCTGTCCTACTGTCCCGAGGAGGAAGACGACAGGGAGGCGCTGGTGGGCTGGGCCGGCCGACTATGGTGCTGGGCCGAGGTAGGTAGGCTGCTGGTAAGCGACAGGTAACACTTTGTCTCTATTTTAATTTTTGTTTCTGTTTTGTTTGATTTAGTAAAAACACTAAACCATCTGATAAAATGTTGTAAACAATTATGTGGCTAGAACTAAAATATACCAAACCACATAAAATGTTCCAGAATTATTGGACATATATTAATTATATAAAAATATATATCCAATGCAAATAGTTATTTATTTAATTCAAAGGCCCAAAATAAATATCTCTGAGATTCCAAAAATATTGTTTTGAGTTTTACCTCTTTCCAATATTTTCAGAGACTAAGAGGAACATTTTCTTGGACTCATTTGATGAGATTTGAATGTTGGTTATTTTTAGAGGTCTTCTGAGGCTTTTGAAAATTCCTCAATTCAAATTTCATTTGAATTGAAACATGATGCTCACACGAAGGTCTAGCCTAGTGCATAACAGGACCAGGGATGTCACATCTGCTCCGCCACATGTGTCCTCCCCATGGCCGCCTGCGATGAAGCCGACCTGTCAAATTCACATAGAGGACGCACACCCAAATCGTGGAAGCTGGCGGCCGCGGAAGACGTCTTGGAGCAAGTGGATGGAGGGCGGAGGCGGAACAGGGCTCAATAGCGAGAAAGCCAGACGGCGAGCCGTCGGCCATCTTCGCCACGGGCGAGTCGAGTGAAGTTTCTCGGGAGAGATTAGATTGGAATCGAGGGGGGTGGAGGGAATTGAGACGGAGAATAGATGATCCTCATGCAGATGGGAGTGCAGGGCCGGCGGCGACGTCCACGGCCACGACGACCAGGAGAGGACGATGAGGGGAGCAGCGGCGGCAAATTTCTCAAGAGCGGAGAGATTGGTTGGGCTGTTTCTCTTTTCTTTGGGGTGAGGGGAGATAGAGGATGGGACGTGTGTTGTGGGTCGTGGTCTCTGTTTTTCTTTCCTTTCTCTGCGACGTTCGATTCTCCTTTAATAGTAGAGATTATTTTTTTTCATTAGGGAAAATTAAGCCAAAGAACAAATGAGTGATGCTCAACTAAAATAATTTCACCATAATAACAAACGGTGCTTGATTTCTCAAAATTACATGATAAATATTATTGTCTTGAATTATGTAAATGATAACAAATCCTTGTCCTGCTACAAAAGAACCACCAGCATAACATGAAAGAATTATAAAAGCTGCTTCAGTAATCTCTTCCTCAAAAAGAGCTATATCTAGGCCCCAACCATACACTCTTGGCTCCCCAGCCAGCCTACTTGGCTGCTGCCTTGCCGTTCCCAGAAGCAACGACAGCATCAGATGGGTTCAGCTCGTCCCAGGCCTCGATCCAGGTGACCATGGCATCAGCAAGCTTCACGAAGTAAGGGTCAATCTTGCCAAGCTTCTCCTTGACCTGCTCCGAGAGTGAGATGTAGCACTTCTGGACTGTGTCACACTCCTTGGGGAGAGTGGCGTTCTGGAAGAAGGGGATGATGTCCTCCTGCCAGAAGATGCCCTTGTACTCTTTCTTCAAGTTGACAAATGGGTTGCTAGCCTTGCTGTGCCACAGGTATGGCAGGCCAGTCTTCACTCCAAGGCTCAAGTGGTCGCAGATGACCTGAAGTTTACACAGTATCAGTTTCATTCTTCAGTTCCTTCCTTTTTTGAGATGAGAAGATTTCATTTCTTCAGTTTAGTGTAAATACAAGTTGTAGTTCAGTTAAATAAATACATACCTTTACGCACCATCCAGCCCACATATCATCGTAGCGACCAATAGGCTGGCCATCACCCATGAGGCCAAAGTACATTGCAGGGCCAATGAGCTGACGGTCAAAGGCAAGGTTCATGCCACACATGGGGAACAGTGTTCCCTTGGGAATAGTCAGGACGGCATCAACATACCTGAACAAAATATAAGAGATCAACAGCAATTCTTGATGAAATATAATGATTGCTGATTAGCAGCAGATCAGTGTTGCTAACAAAATGCAGTACCTGCTGTTCCTCTCACGAGGCTTGACCATCTGTGTGGGTGCATCGTAGTCAGGGATGTTCAGCCAAAGGCCATGAGAGACCGCGGTGGGGGCACCCTCCCTAAGGCTGAAGGGGTATCCACGGACAAAGTCCGCACCTTCACGGTAGGGGTCATACAAGGTGTTGAAGAAAAACGGGGTGGACGGGCTGAGGAGGTTCTTGATGTGCTGCTCAAGAGCATTGATGTCTTTGCCAGATGGGTCCTTGGCCACCTATTTCCAAAGAGGACCAATAAATTTCAGTTGAAGCAACACACAAGACACTGGTCGGAAGAATACAACAGTTTACCCCAACTTGATTGCTTCATCAGGAAAGGCAAGATCTAGTGGAGACCATAGATCTCAAAAGGATGAAGCATAGTTCTTTTACAATTGAATCAAGTACAGAGACTAAACTGAAATTGACCTACAACGGTGTTTCTCGGATCTGAAGCAAATACCGTGGACCAACTGAAACTGTCACTAAATACTTGCAATGCGTTGTTTGGTTACTAACTGAATATGCCAACTCGTGTTACACGACCGAATCACATAAACTAGAACCTAACCAAATAAAAAAAGGGACTCTTCACAGATGGGCTACCTACTACATGCATCAGATGGAGAAAATTAATTATACTACGATCAGAGAGATCACTTTACTGGATCCTCTACCAGCCAATGCAAGCAAGGCCGAGGCTGCTTGTCTGTGTCCCAGAAGCAGCTCCTGCTCAAATCTGATACGGCTGAGGATCTGACAGGCTACACTTTATTGTTGAACTGACTGATTGCGGGTTCCTAGATCCAGATCTGATCAAGCCAGATCTGGAGAAATTAGAACGGAGGCGACCCAGATCCGGGGTAACAATCCTAATTTTCCCACAGATCCGCGCAGAATTCGAACAATCGCCAGCAGGAGCGACTAGGAAACGAGAGTAATTTGGATTTGTGCACAGAGGGAAAGTTACAAACGAACTTACGAAGCAGTCGTCGTCGATGGTGAAGACGTACTTCTTCTTCGAGACCATGTAGCCGAAGCAGCGGCACGCGGAGTCCTTGAAGGAGATGCATGAGGCCTTGGGGCCGAGAATGCGATTGATGTCGTTGCGGTTGTAAAGCTCGTAGTCGAAGCCCTCGGGAACCTTGATGACCTTGCTGGGGTCGCCGTCCTGGACGATGATGAGGTGGTACGGCTGGAAGAAGGGGCGCCACATCTCAAGGAAGTCGAGATTGCGGATGGTCGGGATCACGATGTCCAGCTCGTCCTTGAGCAGCGGCGTCGATGGCACCGACGATCCAGGCACAGTCACCGTCCCTGCCATTGCTGCCTGGCCGGGATCTCGATCTCGAGCCCTGGATCTCGCTGTTCCTGGAGGTGGTGGTAGGGGTGGGAGTAGAGAGAGGTGTGGGTTTGGGCTTGGAAAATGAGGGGGTTATATAACGCTCCAGGATGAAGAAGACTTTCATCTCCATCGATGCCTGCCTGTCGGTGTGCGTCCCTCTTTCCTTTCTCCTTCCTTTTTAGGTGTGTTTTATTCATTTATCTATTTTCTCCTTTCAACTTCCTCCATCCCATAATGTAAGACATTTTTTTGACACTATGTTAGTGTCAAAAACGTTCTATATTATGGGACAGAGGGAGTAGAATGCACCTCCCTTCGTCTCAAAATTCTTGTCTTAGATTTGTCTAAATACGGATATATCAACTCATGTTTTAGTATTAGATACATACATATCTAAACGAATTTAAGACAAGAATTTTGGGACGGAGGGAGTACTAGACAATGTATTAATTGCATAAAAATAAAATTAAGACATTATTTTTGTTTTCTATGTGAATAATGTTGACGGTGATATTTGGTACTCCCCTCCCTTATACAAAGCCACAAACTTAAATTACATGTATCAAGGTAAAATTTGATGACTATTTTGCAAGTCAACTTTCTTTTCATTATCCGGGGTCATTACTACGCTGTTTGCATGCAAGGAAGAAATGGGAAGGGAGTAGCTAAGGCTGGTCATAGTGGGGAGTAATTTATAGTACTGACATGCATATGACACTAGTCTAAATTACTCCCTCCGTTTTTATTTACTCTGCATATTAGAGTTGACTGAAGTCAAACTTCATAAAGTTTGACCAAGTTTGTAGAAAATAATATAGACATTTATCATAATAAATCTATACAATGTGAAAGTACATTCAACAATAAATCTAATGTTGTTGATTTGTTTTTGTATATCTTAATATTTTTGTTTATAAACTTGGTCAAAGTTTGTAAAGCTTGACTTTGACCAAAGCTAATATGTGAACTAAATAAAAACAGAGGGAGTACTACTACCATAGTGCAAAGTAACATAGTAGTAGTGTCATAGATGACTTCACTTTTTAGCTTGTACACTCATTTCCTCTTGGGAAGCGTTATGTTACAGTAACATACTACCTTCGTCCTGATTTATTGGTCTCATTGTATTTTGTGCCAAATTTTGATCATATATTTAACTAATCAAATATTTGTGCATGCCACCAAAAATTATATCATTAGAAACTATGTTCAAATACGAATCCAATGATATAATTTTTGTTGACATGCATTGACATTTTGTTAGCTAAAACTTTGGTCAAATTTTGGCACAAATTACGAAGGGGCTAATAAACCAGGACGGAGGTAGTATTGTTTTACTCTAAACACATCTCTCCTTATTAAATACATATCACATAAGCAAATTTGTCTTGGAACTCACTATGTTATTAGGTAAGTTACTCCCACTATGACTAGCCTAATTGTTAGTATGAATACATGCATGCAAGTATTAAATAAGTTGTTAGTACGAATAAACATCACTAATTTTTGCCTCGATTACTGTTTGTGGCCTTGTATAGTAAACATAATTTTCACAGTGGCCTTGTATAAGACTAGTCATAGTGGGGAGTTGTGACGCCCGGATAATTAAGCTATAGTGAACCTTTACTAATGATGCCACATCACCTCGGTTAATGTTGATAAACTCGCGTCGGTTAGAAACCCAGTTCAAACTTCAAATTTAAAATCAAGGCAAACATCAAAAGTTTTCAAACTTTAAAACTAAAATGTTCGAGAGGTGACAAATAATGCGTAGATAATTATGATGGAGAAAACATCTTTTTATAAAGTAGTTAAAAGCACTAAATTAATAAAAAAACTATAGTAAAACTAATATTTAAATGTCTTTTAAATACTAAACAAATATAAACTAATTGTTTAGGATGCCAAATCAATTGTGGTAGTGTCATAAGTATTAGTACTAATTTAGGGGCTAGATTTATAATTTATAAAACAAAGGTAAAAATAAACAGAAAAGAAATTGAAAAAAAAAGAAAAGGAAAACGAGCAAACCAAAAAAAGAAGAAAAGAAAACAGGACCCCCCCCCGCCGCCGCCGCTGGGCCAAGTGGCCCAGCTGGCCTTAGCCGCCCGAACGGGCCGGCACACCCCGGTCCACCTCCCCTACTAATCCCCCGCTACCCCATAACCCTAGTCTCGCGTCCCGCACGACCCCCACTCCCCCTCCTCGCGCCCCCATCTTCCTCCCCTCATCTTCCCCGCGGCAAAACCGAGGCCCT